GCTAGGGGTGGCACTGCCCACAATGGACTGCGTTCTCCCACATCACTCAATGATCAAGAAAATGCCCCACAGACATTGTCACAGGCCAATTCAATGGAGACAATTCTTCAGTTGAGGCTCCCTCTACCCAGGTGTGTCAAGTTGACAAGTAAAGCTATCCAGCACACACTGGTTGACTTAAATAAAAATGTATATCTCCTATTTCTGGAGATTAGGAAGTCCAAACTAAGGTACCAGCCAATTTTATTCCTCCTGGATTGTATGTGGTTTCCTTCCTTCTCTGTCCTCACAATGGGGGCGGGGGGGGAGGGAGAAGGGATGGGGAGAGAGAGAGGGAGAGAAGAGAGAGCTCTGCATGCTTAGCATTCTACACATGTCAACTCATAGATGCCTCACAGCAACTTCATGCAATAAATAGATCACATTATTATCCCCATTTTCACATGAATGAATAAGGTACAAGTAGTTTGAATAATACACAAAGGCCAGTAGTAGATAAACAGACCAGAAATAGCCCTTGTGTATTTTCCTGAAAGAGGCCCACATTGTTTACTTCCACAAAGTAGACTAGAACCCTTAGCCCAAAGCCTAAATCTGCCAGGGTAGGAATGGGAAGTTGGGGACACAGGTTTCATATACAAACATAGGAAACACTGGCTCTTGACTTTCTAAGCTTGTTTGTGCTCGGCTTTGGAGGCATAGAAAAGAGGTTTTAAAATACATAGAGCACAGAGGAAAAAAAAAAAAACATGGCAGGTGTTACCAGCAGAAGGGTGGTCAGAGCAGAGAACAGAGGTCAGCCAAAGTGGTTAATGGAGACTTCCAGAGAGGAGAGGCTTAGCTCTGGAGTTTCACCCGCACTGCTTTCTGTCCCAAACTATCTGCATGTCTCAGTGAAATGAAGCCTGCCCCATGAGACCATCCCCTTTCACTGAAAATGCCCACACTGCTCACCTGAGGTAGGCCCAGTGATCTTCATTGTCCCCTAAGCTCAACAGCTCCTCAATGGCCAGGCTTCCTACTCATGATAGCGTCAAGACAGAACAAAGCTTCGCATTTGCCACTGTAATGAACTCCTTTGATGCCAGCACAGGCTAGTCCCCCTTGAAGAACAGAGCTTGTGTCATGAGGCCAAAGGAATACTGTGTGGCTGATCCATGGAAGGCCCAGACAGGCCCTGTCTTCTGAATAATTCTAAAGCAACCTGGATTTCTCCATTTCCCCACACTTTGCCCTTATCAGTGAGGAAAAGGGAATTCGTGCTGTAGATGGATACAGAGGAAGGAGGCACCGGGTATTTCCACACCATACATCGTTTTGCTCCATCACTCACTCCAAACTTACCATTTTAGGGCTAGCGGCCTCCTTGCAGACCACATTGGGAATAATATCGCTCTAGTTACACACTTCCCCCCCCAAACAAATATGATTTTTAGCCTTCAGTGCTGATGTTAAATCTAATGATTCCTATGTCCTTCCTAATATGATGTTTGCAGCATGTGAGAATGTAAGAATGACTTTTACAATATGGACATACTCTGGACAAATGCCTTTTACTTAATCTTGCAATCAAAAAGTTAATCTTAGCTTAGCTTCTTTATAATATAGACAAGTTCACTGCACCTTGTGCTCCTCCTGTAACCTGAACATATAGCTCATGACCCTTCCTTGAGTCAATAATATATGAATGCATGTGGATGTTTTGCATATCAAGAAAGTTTTGCTGCAAACGGTGAGGCTAAGTAGTCACTAGAAACAAGATATGACGATGATCCCATTTGTGTTGCAAACAATAGATGGTACTGAATTGATAGCATCTCTTTGTGGCTGTGTGTGTGCTATTCTAGGTCATGGGGGTCAGAAGGGACATAGTCTTCTGATAAGGGTCCATTTTTACTTCCCCATTTCATGTTGGACTGTTTCAATAAAAGAAAGAATGAGTCCTCGTTCAAAGCACAGTTCTGAGGGTAATCTGAAGGAACAAGTTCTCAGCAGTTTAGGTCCCTCCTGGCCAAAATGGATGCTAAGAGTCAGGCTGTGTTTATTCAGGCATCACCATGATGCAGCATCACATAGTAACTGCTGCAAAAGATGACTCTTTAAGAAAGACTGCCTGGGGCATTGAGTGAGAGCCAACACAGTTCTCATGGGTCACACAAGCAAACTGTGGTGGTGTGTTGAGATCAAGTGCTGATTAGCAACTGCAATGGCAAGTGTTCAAGACAAAGGTTGGAGATGGGCCTATGTGGAAATCCATGACCTCACCTCAGTTTAGCTACCAGGTCGGAAAGACACAAGAAATTCACAGGTACTTTTAAACCTACTCAGCCTCACCTATACACAACCCACATTCACATCCAGTCCCACCAAAGAATATGAACCTACCTGATGCTGATTGGGTTATATCATGCTGACATCCCAGTGATGGTTTATCCTTCTTCTGTATCATCCCATCGAGTCCACAAGATGAGATACTTTAAATGCCACTCTCCTAAAGAAAAATAAATAAATAAAGAGCTACATATCTTGACCTACACACAAGAAACTTTACAGCAGGAATCTTCAACAGTCCTGGATTACCAACATCAACATCTCCTGGGGGTCTTGTTAGATATGCTAATTTCAGGCCTTATCCTGGGGCCTACAGATACAAATACCCTGGGGCAGGGCTCAGCAATCTGTGCTTCCACAAGCCTTCCTGGTGACTCTAGGACCAGCTAAAGTTTGAGAACTAGGCTAGAGGAAAGACACTCTTGTTACATCCCTGACTTTATCCCAAATTCAGATTTTTCAAACCTAAGTCCCTGCATCATCCAGAGAAGAAAAGGATTCTAAACACCAAAGGTTTATTGAAACATTTCCCTACACAACATTTCAATAGTATACAGCATTTTACAAATAACAAATTACCAATAAATATCAATTCAGAGTCTTAGGAAAGAAAATCATATTGCTTAAATTAGATTAAGATTAATTTGATTATGCCAGGCATGGTGGCATGTACCTTTAATCCCAGCCCTCAGGAGACAGAGATAGATGGATCTCTGGGAGACCGAGGTCACCCTGGTTCACATCGTGACTTCTAGGTGGGCTATGACTAGAGAGACCCTGTCAAAAAACAATCAACAAAAAGACAAAAGAAAAAACAATTAATCTGACCACAAAACCAGGTACAGCAAAGGCTGGGGTCAGGAAAACAAGTTCAGAATGTTTACAGTTCAGATAACAGATAACAAAAATCTTATCCAGGTGGACTCTTATCAGTGGTGGAAGTAACAGTGTCAGACACAAGGATTACAGGGTGGAATTAAAGGCTATGGTCTTCCTTCCCCGGGCAAATCACATATTCTGATCTGTACTTTATCTGCCTCCATATGTTCCCCAGAGAAGAAGTGTGAGACTTCACAGGCTTAGTATATTATTTAACCCAGTGAGCATCTAAGTGGTGCCAGTTGTGGGATCCCCCAAGGACAGATTCTCTGCTAAAAACAACTCTCAGGAAAGAGGCATAGAAGAAATCGCTGCTCTCAGGAAGCTGGGGACTGTGAAGTCATGTAACCCACTTAGAACAACTGTCTTTGGTCCTAAGAAAACAATTCTGAGACTGGAGGACTCCCAAGGTACTTTTCCTCACCTGAGCAATCTCCAAACAACAAAGCTCAGGAGACTGACTAATTCTTCAGTCTCTGTAGTATATTATCTTTTGAAACCAATGCCTTTATATGAAAGAGCTCAGCCATAAGCAAAATGGTATGCTTCCCAGACAAGAAGACAGAAACTCTGTGGTGATATTAGCCACATATTTTTCTAAATTAAAAAATGGCGTGTTCCAGAGTGGTAATATGTAACATTCATCATTGTGTGACACTGAAGGAAATACCTGGAGTTTCCTAAGACTACTAGAATTAAAGACACAAACTATGCAGCTTATGGTAGCGGACGTTTATTCTCTCGCAGTTCTGAAGGCTAGAAGGCTAAAATTAATGTCCTTCGGAAGCCTCTCAGGGACAGTGTGTTCCGCAGCCTTTTCACAGCTGCTGGTATTTTCTGGTCATCCCCTTCCTTCTTCAGCCTGTAGACACATCACTCCCACCTCTGTCTAGCACTCAAACTTCTACCAAGGCTGCCACACGGCCTTCTCTCCGTGTGTCTCCACCTCACCTTCGCTCTG